GACTTGATCAAAGTGTTGTGTTTGATAAGAGACACAGAAATTCATCGGATTGAATGTAGTTTCGATTGATGCAATCAAAGATGCGAATGCGGCCACTCTCATGGACGTCTCGAAAGTAGCAGCAGCAGACGGCATTATAGGTCAGTTCATTCGATCTACGTCTTTCAAACTTCTGTTCTTGCTACTACTGTAGTTGGCAAACTGGTCAGCATTGGATTGTACTTAAAGTTGCATAACAATCGGAATGGTTCAATAGTCATAGAGGAGAAAATGAAACTAAAATCCAGCTATCATCCTCATTTGAATATCTATGATGCTAGTGGTGAGCTCATCATTCTCTTCGTCATGTTGTCGGTTTCCATTGCTTTTTATTTTGTTAACAAATATCTAATGGATATGTTCGATGACATTCAACTGCTCGAATTGTGACTTACACATGAGACTGGCAGCAGCGACGAGAGCAGTCTATGAATAGATTGGGTTGAAATAATCGAAGACAGGTATCTAGGCGGTCTGAAATCATGTTTTCTTTTTACGTGTGTATGGTCGAGTTGTCAAAAAAGGTCTATTCCGACTGAAATTATGTGCCTTCCTTAGGGAGAAGACTTTTCCTAAATGTTATCTATTACTCAAATGCTGCCATCTAAAGTATTGTTTTTTTTTAATCATAAGAAAAAAGTCGATCACCTTTCCACAAAATGGTTGAAATCGAAAGAACTCACCTATTTATGAATACAGAATGAAATTTGTCATAGGTTTAAGAGTTAGTTAATATAATTATGATTAAGAGTGTATAATAGTATAGGAATAACCGGGAGCATTATGGAAAATGTATGCTTCACAGATTGTGCACTTTCATAATTTGGACAATTCCATCCTTTTGGTGGAATGAAGACTGCTCGATCGATTTCTTCTACAATAACAGTGTAATTTGTGAACCACAAATCTTGATAGACATCAAACAATGGTTGAGGGAGTGTATGTTGATAAATGAGACGTCCATCAACAGCTGCTGTATCGATAAACCAAGTTACAACATCTGTTGCACAATTCCATCGATAAGCTTTGGTTGTCTGATAGTATAGTGTCGAGTTGTACGAACATAACTCTGCAATCCAATTTTGTGAGAGTGTGACTGGATTTCCTGGGTATATAACACAGGATATTCCATTTGGTGTAAGGCTGGCATAGTAGAGGTATGTATCGAGAGGAGCGGATGAGGCAAAAAGAGTATCGTAGGGGGAGGAAAATGTTCCGGCAAAATAGAGGTCATCAGCTCGAAATTTTTGATTAATTGAATCAATTACCTGGTATAAGACACCAGCACCAACAGGCAAATTATTTGACGCATTGATAAATTGGAAATGAGCAGTTGCTGCCCATCTTGGAGGATATATTGGAGGATCAGGAGGCGTATCCTAGAAATAGGGCTCGCTTATCAATCCGGCTGACTCGCCAGGAATAGATCCATTTACCAGATAGCTATCTATTGTCCATGTACATGTGAAGACAAGTGAGAGTAGAAGGATAACCTTCATGAATGCTATTTGTCTATGAATCTAAAAGGAAAAGAAAAGCATTCGTCGCAAAAAGCCGTGCTAAAATCTACCTAACTATGAAATGCAGCAGACTACATAAATGTTCAAGGGAAAACAAGCAGGTTCGCTTTTTTTTGTGTCTATTTTCTTTAAAGGTACGCACGTTGTTGGCTAATATTTGATGATGCTGTGCCTTTGTTCCTTTCGCTGAATGAGACCGTTACTTGTTGATAGAGAAATATTCTTGAGCAAACAGCATGATACTGATAAGAGAAAAAATGTTTCTTTAGGTGTGATACACAGAAAAAAGACTGCTCCCTTTGTTGCATGTTAAAAGGCGGGCGAGTGCACTAGATAAGAACACCAATTAACAAAATGGAAAAGCACTAGCTCTTGATTAGTTTCATTCTATTAGTTTTTCTTCCTTAGGAATGTTTACCCCTTCAATCGTCATACATGACATGTAGAGATGGTCAACGTGAAAAACTGAGAGAGGCTGTGGGTGTGCTTCGGGTGTTCTACCCATTGATACCCACACTCATACCCTCACACCAATCCACACCACACACCCACACCCACACCCCAAATTATCATAAAGACAACGAAGTTGTTCCAATTTCACGTTGTTTGAAAAATGGTCAACGTATTACAATTGGCTGTCCGAAAGCAGTAAAAGATTACAATCAGTTTTCACATGGAGTTGGCCGACTCAGCCAAAGAATATCCTGCTACAATCTCGATCGCAAGTCTGAAAGGAACTGGCTGCGAATGTTTATTTATTTTCTAAATGCATCTATTTTCAACTCATTCATTTGTCATAATCAGTTAGCTCAAGATAAGTTAACATACTTAAACTAATGGTTTCAGTGGCGAAGTCTTTCTGCTCTAGCAGTGAACGAATGAGTCATGGAAGATCCCCTGCTGAAAAGAAGTATAAACAAGCATCACCAAAAACTGTCCGCAATTTTGACAATGAAATGCATTTGCCTGTGAAAGGGAAAAGAAGAAGATGTGCTTATTGTAGCACCAAAGAAGCAGATTTTAGATCCAACATCGAGTGCTTTACTTGCAAATTGTCATTTTGTTTAAAAGATGAAAAAAAAAATTGTTTTTTTGATTATCATAACACTTTTATGTAGCGATTTTGAGTTAAAATAAAATCAAAAGGTTGAAAAATGTTTTTCTCGATTAGAAAAATTCGGTCCTCAAAGAGTTAATCAGCATGTCAAATGGCGTTAGCTACCCTCATCTCTTACGTCCTTTAAAACAATCCAGTGGAATATACCACTGTAATATGATTTGTTCTGGATTTGAATGAAAAATCCGTTTCTAAAACTTCTTTAGTATTTTTCTCAAAACACTGTTTCTAAACAGGAAAATTGAAATAACTCCCATTCGACTCGGCATATAACCGATGTGTTTTTTGTTTTAAAGGTCTTAATTAGAGCTAACTTTTCATCGGATGGATTTTTGATATTCGACCCCAGGGTTGAGAAAAGTGAGATTTACTATCGTAGAGTCACATTTTTTATGCTTATTTTGCAAAAATGTCCACAAAATTGCTCGTAAAAAATGAATGGAAGGGAGTTTCAAAATTTCACCCGATAAAAAGTTGCGTACAGAGGCTAGCGCCAATTTGAAATCAGCCCAAGCTTTGTACCCCTTCTAACGATGGAGTTATTTCGATTCTCCTGGAAGGTAGGAAAACAAGCCGAAACTTTGATCTAGTCAGGCATATCAGGTTGAAATTTTTACCACAAGCGTTTCTCACTAAGACTAATCATCCCTGAAAATTTCAGCCCAAACGGTTGGTTCCAAGTGGGAAATCAATTCTGTGGGGGGGGGGGGGGAGAGGGACCTTAGTAGTAATCATTCAATTTCATATTGATCTAGTATTGATTTATTTCGAACTAAGAAAACAAAACGTCTACTAAAGAAAAAAAACAAATTAATTGATAAAAATCATTTAATTTGAATTACTTTGTTGTTGCAAAAAATAATGTTGATGGATTTGTTGATGAATCAATATGAGCAATATAACCTTCATGTTCTCTATGTTGATCTTCAGCATATTTCTAAATAAAAATAAATAATAAACTCGTTTGATTTAAAAGTAAAGAGAAAAACAAACATCAAATATATAGTTTTCAAGTGTTTCATGAGCAATTGATGATCTAATAAGTCCATCCCTTCCAACATGTCATGGATTTCTAATCCGATGAATAATTTCTTCATTTGTTGCAACTCTATTTGAATAAAATAAATAAATTAGTATTTAAATAATCTTTTGGTTACTTTGAAAGACGTACTTGTTAAATCTGCAATCTCACTAGATGGTCTTTCAACAAGACAAAGAAAACTTTTAAGAAAAATTTCTTTTCTTTGAATGCTTGCATTTTGATAATCGTGATCGACCCTTAATCTAGCTAACCTTTACTTGTTGTATCAGTTACTTTTGATAAGGCTTCAGCTACACCACCAACAATTGATCCAACTAAATATTTTGTACCTGTTGCTATACCTTCGATAAATTCAACTGGACGCTCCATTGCTCCCTTTCAAAACAAAAGATTTTATTGAAAAAAAAAGTTTTTTGAGGGATAAAACTTTATATGGTTCATAAAAGAATGATTCGACTCCTTCAGCCACATCACGAGCAAGTCCAAATGAATTTCCAAGAACATCTCAAGACCAAATAGAACAACATGATTTTGTTTTAAAAATTGATTTAAATAATGATCACCAATCTCTTTTGTTAATTTTGTATTTGTAAATCTATCATTTTTTCTCTGATAATAATTTAATTTTTTCAAAAATAAGATTTTTATTTTTAGGATAGAAACAAAAGATAGATAATACTTTAAGAGAGGTTCCGCGAAAAAACCGAACATTTATCTGAACCCCGGAGAGAGCAAAATTTCTTTTTCAACTTTAACTACATCGCTGGAAAGACCATTCATTTTTACCGACAAATCCAAATTTTTTCAATTTGAAACCATTCTAAAAATTTTTAACCCTAGCAAACTTCTTTCACCCTCTTAGTCCTCATGTCTATTTATACATAAATACCTTCTGGGCGATATTTTGACAGTTTCTCGAGAATAACCACATCAATTGAGTTCATTTAGGTTTCATTTGCTATTCTGTATGAAAATCTTTAAAAAACTATGGCTAATGCCATATGTTTGCCGGCAGGGTGTGAGTGTAGAGTGTAGGTGATTGAAGAAGAACCTACACTCACACACACACCCACACCCTGAAGCTAAATTAATTCTTAATCATATGATATTAAATTCAAATCCAATCGATATTGAAATGTGAATTAATTGTGCACAAATTATTATTGTTGCACTAGGTCCTTTTTAGTTACCTCAATATCAACCATCTATCTTGAATAACAATTCAAATCAACATAGCTGTTGTCCTACAAATTAAAAACGTTTTTTGATTGAATTTAACGTAATGTATGAATTTGTTTCACTACCAGCAGGTCTTAAAGATGAACGATGGCAAAATAGTTTCCATAATTTTCTATTTAAATGTAATCGATTTCTTCATTTCCTACGACAACAAGAACCAATGACTCAACGTGATTCATTTCAGCTTATATTCGAGCGATACCTTGAGAAAGAAGAACAAATTTTTCAGACTCCTAATGTGAATCTAAATATGAATAAACCAATACGTGAAGGCAATAGTCAAAAATTACTTGAATCGAATGAAAGACTCACTTCATCAAGTCTCTCAACAAATCAATTAATTAATAGCCATACCACCAGTGAGAGGTAAAAATGTTGACATAAGAAATATTATTAAATATGCATGGACATAAAATTACGATGAAGGAATAGCGTATGAACATGCCAAAGAAATATTACTCAAGAAAATTCAAAAAAAAAAATTTTCAGACAGATGAAATATATAATCTTATTAAAATTTCATCAACCGCGTCATTGGAATCTGTCGGCAATACAAGTTTGATAGAATTCTATGATCCTGAACAGCAAAAAGTCCATTGATTCCGCAAACAAAGTAAATATTCTCGATATGTTATTGTTTATTGTTATACAGTTTGATATGATGATGAAGAGAAACATGATGATACTTTGGAATATTTTAGCCCAGTCAATGTTACAAGTATTTTTTAGAGAATTTTAGTCGTATCTTATCTAAGAATTTTGACAATGCTAACACTCATTTTTTTTTTTTTTTTTTTTTTATAAAAGTAATTTGAATTTCAGGAAACAAGTGAATACACTTCTGACATTTTAAGTATCAGATCGATGTACATCGACAAAACTAATTGGTACTACTGCACTACATTCTGTTATTTGCAGTTTAAGACTGATTTTATTTTGATTCTAATTGACATCAGCTGATTACAAGAATAATTATTGATAGATCATACTTTCTTTCACTTGTTTTGATACAATCTTTATGAAATGAAGCACATTAATAGGTAGTATTATTCTGTGTTCTATTTTTGACATAAATAATTTTCCATGTTAATCTTAAAGTTCAATATTTACAACTTTTTAATTTCTTGAATAGTCGAATGACATACAGGATTGTAGAAAAGATTGTAGAACGATTTAGTTAATTGAAGTTAAGAATATTTTTACTCATTTTTCTTCTTTCTTTCTGCAATTAGTCGACGAAAAAAGTGTCGCCCGCTAACTATATCGTTTATTTTGCCCTTTATAAGGGTATTTAAAAAAGATAATATTATTATCACATATATTGCTCTTAGATCCTTCATTACTCATATTCAGCTTTTTTATTTCTTTAAGGTTTTTGTTTTAAATTGATTAAATACTAAAATCATTAAAAATGCGACATTTGACACGTGAAGAATGTTTTTTTTTGCAGTGAAAGAAGCATAAAAGCCAAAACATGACATTCAGTGCAATAGTACATTAATTGGATTGCGATCGTCGAACCGTTTCTCGCGCTGTTGCTCGCTTCAATGAAACGGGATTATTGACTGAACAGGAAATATCAGGCCGGCCACCTTCTCTTACTGAAGGACAGCAAAGTTCACTCGACAAATACATCTCAAAAAATCCAACTGCAACTTCTAATCAACTTTCCAACTATATCTTTAACAAGTTCGGCATTCGAATTAGTGAACGTACATTACAAAACTATCGACGAGCTCTTGGATTTTATCCACGAAAACAACAAACCAAAGTCAAATCAACACAAACTCAAGTCGAAAGACGTCATTTATTTGCAGTAGAGCATCAGAATAGTGACATCAAAAAATGGATTTTCATTGATGAGACACAGATCCAATTGCGTAACACAGGTAAAATCGTTTGGGTGAAACGTGGAGAACCAACACCTACACATGAAATCTCTTCTCTTCGTGCGCATGTCAACTTATGGGGTGCAGTTTGGTGGAATGGCAAAACGTTCGCAAGACACGATGACTATATCAATCAAACCTTATATCAACATTTATTAGCTTCTCATCTTGGTCCACATGTACATAAATGTCGTCGGTATGCAGTGGCTCAAGATAAATTAAGATCACATTGGGCAAAACTAGTTCGGCAATGGTTCAATGATCATGGACTCAAATTATTGGACTGGCCACCTCATTCGCCTGAATTCAATGCAATTGAAAATGTTTGGCACTCACTCAAAGAAACAGTCAAGACAGCACAGCCAAAAACTCAAGCGGAACTGGAAGTAGCAGTTGATCAAGCATGTCATCTCATTTCACACGTTTCTACTTTAATCAAAGAAGAAGCAAGCAACTAAGAAGACATTATGAGTATATTAATTGTGTATAATTTCTCTCTCTCTATATATAAGTGTATTGTACTATAATTTTATACATTGAAATAAAATAAAATATTCATCTCAACACGAACGAAATTGTTTTCATTGACTAATTTTTTGATGATTTTAGTATTTAATCAATTTAAAACAAAAACCTTAAAGAAATAAAAAAGCTGAATATGATTAATGAAGGATCTAAGAGCAATATATGTGATAATAATATTATCTTTTTTTAATATCCTTATAAAGGGCAAAATAAACGATATAGTTAGCGGGCGAAACTTTTTTCGTCGACTAAATAAAACCAGGAAGATAAGTCATGCGCATATCCGTAACCACCCAGGGAATAAAATAATGAAAAAAATGCCACGACTTTCATGAATTTTGCATCAAAAGTATGAAAAAAATGGCATTTCTGATGATGAAACGGATATTTTCTTTCATGTTTTTCAATTTCATCGGTGAAAATAAACATTTTCATCGGTGACATTTCATGAATTTGATTTTTTTCAAAGTCATGGCATTATTTTGATGAAAATATTTATTTTCATCGATGAAATCGAAAAACATCAAAGAAAATGTCCGTTTCATCATCAGAAATGCCTTTTTTTTCATTTTTTTATTCCCTGGGCAGCTTAAAATTTAATAAAATTACTTCATTGACAATATTAATACAGATTGTTTTTATTTTATCGTTGAAATACATTGAAATTTATTATAAATAAGATAGTTTATTCGATAGAATATTGATCATTATTGAATATATTTGCATTTAGTCCTACTCGTTTTTCTTTTTTACAGCAAATCAGTATCGAGCTACGTAAAACAACATTATATCGTACACGTAATTAGAGAAAGAGGATTTAAAACAATAATTGATAGTGGCTGAACATATTCTAAAAGATCTTTTGGTAATTATATTTCATTCTGATCGTAGAAATATAGCCATACTATTGATTATAGGCTAAAGAAATTACGCATTTGAATTGTGATCCAATTAAGAATCAGTGGTTACGCTTGAATCTCGATTCTATATCTAATCAAAAGGAAATTAATAAATATTTTCTTTAAACAAGCGAATTTTTATTCACATCATTGTCTCGATAACATTTCTATGTTGAGCTTGATAATTATATGATTTGGACAAAGATTCAAAAATTTGATAAATATATTTCTACCATGAAGGATAGAACGAGTTTTACAGTACTAACTACCACAGTTGATTTCTAAAAATTGCCAAAAGTCATATCGTACATTCAAGTTTTTTCCTTAACAAAACTAGAGTAGGTTTGTTAAGGATCAAATTTGAATATATGACATAACTTTTGGCAATTCCTGATAGTTTAATAACAAGTTTGAGGCATTATATTCTAATTAAATAAGTTATTATTGGTCTATCAGCAATTTATTCGTTATTACTGCATTTTCTCCCACAATATAATTTGACGTTGCAAAAGTCTAAGGATAAAAATTTTTCGACGTTTCGATTTTAGAATTCTTAGATTTTACACTGGATTGCGATATTTTTCTAACTGCTATGTCTTTCTAACAAAAAGTTAATCATCCATTGCCAAAAGTGCGACTTTATAAACATAATTAATTAGTGAATTTATGTTTTAATCCATATATATATGGGCACTGCTAAAAGTTGTGTTTTTATTGGACTTTCGTCAATAGCCAAAAGTCATCTGTGAAATTCGTGTTTTCCGTCTTGAATGCTTCATTACACTCTTTATTTTTTGTGTAGTAAATTGACGCCATGTGAATTAAATTAATTTTTTTTTTCTATAAAAAGAAAATGTTCTTGTTCAACAAAATACCAGAAAAATTATAACTAAAAAGAATCCTTTAGATTAATTTGCTTCATTTTTTTGCTTGTTGTTGACACTTTATAAATATATTCGTTGCAAATGTCAAATCGCACTGATTGTGGTACTAATGATTATGAGATATCTTGGTGTAGTTTTGTTTTTCTTCTTAATCAGAATATTTCAAGGTATGGCATGGGTCTTATTTGGCTTATGGGAAATGTTGGATCAACTATCAATTGTTTTATCTTTTCTCAACGAAAGCTTCGCAAAAATCCATGTGTCATGTATTTCCTAGCTTCCAGTGCTTCGCAATTCATAACTTTCAATTTTGTTCTTGTCACAAGAATACTTCGCATTGGTTTCAATATTAATGCAATTAATATTTTCCTTTGGTTTTGTAAAATTCGCAATTTTTTTTTCTATATTTTTGTTGCTGTTCCACGTTATTATATTATTTTGGCATCAATCGACCGTTATTTTGCTAGTTGTTCTGACATTTATTGGCGTCGATGGAGTTCATCAAAGATCGCTATGCGATTAATTATTGGTAGTTTTATATTTTGGTGTTTGGTGTACATTCAGGTTCTTGTTCTCTATGAAATTCAAGATGGTCTCTGCTCATATAGGTCTGGTGGTTATGGAATTTTCTTCAGTATCTATCTATCGATTGAAAGTGGGATATTACCACCATTGCTTATGCTTCTTTTTGGATATATCACAATGAAAAATATTCGACAAAGCAAACGAAAAACAAGACCAGTAGCAGTAATTAATGCTCTTCGACCTGTAGAATATACTGGAATATCAGGAAAAGATTTACAATATTCTAAAATGTTATTTAGTCAAATATTACTTTGGACCATTTTGAACATAATCAATCCTTGTGTTCTTCTTTATCAAACAATAACAATAAATGAAACGAAATCATCTTTTCGTGTAACAATTGAAGCATTTATCAATAATATGAGTTATATGTTTATCCATCTGGAATTTTCTTTAACATTTTTTATTTATACTTTATCATCATCATTTTTCAGGCGTGAATTCAAGCAATTGATTCAAAAGAAAGTATTACGTCATTTAGCATCAAATGCGACTGTGAGCAACAACACATGATTCAAGGAATTCTTTCAATAACTACCACAATTTTCGAGAGGCAAAACTAACATCGATGTTAAACACAATTTCTCGTATTGTCATTTTGTTTTGTGCATTTTCATGTAATTTCTTTCTCATATATTTATCTTTGATTGTATATTTAAATATTCTAAAAAAAATCAATTGAACGAAATAAAGTCAAATTAGCCAAATATATATAAGATTTCAAATGCCAGAATCATTCATGAGAAAATAAGAATTGTTTTTTCTTGATTGATTAGATGATGATGAATGTCGTATTTGCATAATTGATTTCAAGATTTATATATTTAATAGTTATTCAACACCGAAATGAAACAATATTATTTCATATACGATGATGAAAACAATTTTATTGCCATTTTTCGCTCCTTAAACAAATATTTTATTATTATTGACTAATTTTCGTCAATTATAAAAATCTTGGGAAGCAAATATTTTATCATATGTTGAAATATATAAAATGAAGATACACGTTCGAAACTAAATATTGGATTTTCTATAATGCAAAGCCTATAATTTCTTGCAAAAATTATGACTTTCTTTCGAAGAAGCCAAATGTTAATTGAATGTTATTTTCCCTTACAGAATTAAACGCAAAAAATTCTAAGGTTGGAAATTCTATAAGCTATTCTCTAACATTAAAGTCGAGCCAATATTTCTTCTGTCAATTGATAATATCAAAAATAGTCCATATTCAAATTCGAAAATATATTTGATATTTGTTATGATAAAAAGTAGTTTAACTTGAAACAGCAATAATTAGTGAAATATCGACTGTGAGTCATATCATAATCTTGAGAAGTTTTAATTAGTCTATGTCATATACTCAAGGATGTGGGTGTCTTTCTATGTTTTATCTATAGCTACCCCTACCTCACATGAAAACGAAAGAAATGAGTCATTGGTATGTGAATAGAACACAATTGTAATTTATGTGCTCCTTCTATTATTTTACGTTGGGCTTCGATTTGTATGCATAATCAAAAATTCAGCCGAATTTCAAAAGTATAAGTTTCAGTAGTCTAATGGTGAAGACGCACGACTGAAGATCGTGTCACCCAAGTTCGATCCACACTGTTCAGTTATTATGCTAATCTGTTCGATGAGTCATTTCTATGATGAATCGTGAAATGACTGTGATAGACGAACAGAGTCTTTCTTGGCTGAGGCGTGTAAAAACTATTGTCATCCTTTTTGTAATACTACAAAGCTTTTACGAAATAACACTAGTGCATCATCATATATTATATCGTAATTACACAGCGCAACATCTTTAGATAGAAGCGTTGATCAGAGAGAAGAATAGAAGTGAAAATGAATATTATTTGTTTGCAATGCATTGTTAGACTGAGAACACAATTAAACCTTTTATCTTCGTTTGTACACAAATAATTGCTCCCTCACCATCATGAAAAGACACTAACAAAGATTTGGACATCTTTATCGAACAATTAACAAGCTATGTCGAAATAGAGAGATGAACAATATTATACTTTGGTGATTGATCGAATCAAAGCAGAAGAATCCTTTTGAACTTTTCAACTCGTCACATTCTCATCGTCAGAATTAAATACTATGGTCATCACTCTTCTCTAACAATTCTTCAATACAAATATTGATCCTTTTTGTTTGATATCATGAAGATGAATATTTTTTAATCCATTCTGCATAGAACAAGTAGGTAACGATTTTTTGTTGTGATGAGGCATTGGTCGCCTTAGAAATATTGATCGATTCAATAAATATTGAAATGAAATCTGAAATGTAATAATGGGGACGATTTCATGATGCAATAAACAATAAAAGGTTCAACTTCATCATACTAAAGAATAAATAGCTGTGTCGAATTTTATATCACTAACAGTGAACTTAATCACGATGAATCTTCAGCTAAAGATTTCATACAATAGGATCAATTCTGAATTAAAGACTTTAGCCGAGAACTGTTCATTCTTCATTCACATGGACAGAAAATGAAACAATGACAATTCCAAACGAAAAATTCTCATCGAATAAATGGTATTGTTT